CAAAAGACGAGTGTCCATAGGAGAATAGGGTAAAGGCAAGACTCAAAATGGAAAATGCAAAACTCGAAAACACGAAGCAAAAGTCAAGAAGGAAAAAAGTCTAAATTATGCCTACTGTAATCAATGTCGTCGCAATGTGGTCTGGTGGAGAAGCATTACGAAATTGGCCAGCCAAACCTATTTTAGCCTGTTGGCTGCCTTGTCGGCTCCAGCAACCTCCTTTTGTTTTAACAACTCCCTTCAAAATTATCTGCGAGCGAAGCTGCTGAGGGCTTGCTAGTATTTTTATTTTTATTATATAAATGCAGTCATTTACAGAACATTTTCAGAGCCGTTTGGGGACATGCATATAGCACATCCTTTTGGGCCACTTGGGTGGGTGGTGGGGGGTAGTGATGGTGCTGATAATCCACCGAAAACCCTTTGCACCGACACCGACTTTGGTTTAACCCAGAAATCCTGATGGGAGTGCCCTCTGCCCTCTGGAGTCATCCCGCCCATCCACCACCACCATTTGGGTGGGTTGGGAGAATTCTCTGCACTTAATTTACTCTTGCTAAACTTTTTCCCTCTGTCTTTCTGTTCCTTTCTGTTTTGTCCCGTGTGGAGTCTCTCCCTCTGTGTGTGTGTGTGTGTGTGTCCACAAAGTTTCATCTCTCGGCAGTTTTCCTATCTAAATGGCTTAACATTTTCATTCAGTTGCTTCCCCTGCAGCCTCTGCTCGCCCACATCCATCTCTAGATTCAGTTTTGCTGAGCGGAAGCTCAGCTTCAAAGTTTGCTACCTCTGCAACGCAGTGCCACTGAAGTATGGGGCATGGGGCAAGGGGCAGGGTACGGCAAATGTTTAACTTCTCGCAGCGGCTGCTCCACTTTTCCTGGCACTGGGCCCCCGAGAGTTAATCGGGTCATAAAATGGCAAGCACTGAGTTTCCTCCGTTCCTTGTATGATGTGGGTGAAAGGAGGGGCACAAAGTGCCGACACCCCTGCAAAGACTCCATCAAAAGTCTGCACAGAAGAAAGCCAAATGGAAAAATTATGAATTTCATTCGGAAATTAGTGAATGAAATCAGCTAAAAGGATACGTGGGATCAGTCTTTGCGGATAGACTCTTAGATCTGGCCAATCTTTATGCCTTCTCTATTGGATACCCATGATATGCCGCCGTGCTATGCTCCTGCTGGTTCCTTCCAGATGTCATCATGGATCAGGCTGGAAAGTTTTTTGCGTTGCTGTCAGTCGGTGGATGGATGCCATCAAACTGTTGCATTGACACCAGACCCACATCCACATCCTGCAGCATTAAAAACAAAACAAAAAAAACAGCAGACAGCAGAAGAAAAACGGGTAATGAAAGGGGGAAGGGAACAGGAATGGGAACGGGCAGGATGATAGGCTTCAGAGTGGAGATGTGGATGGGGAGGGGGATGGGGATGGGGATGGGGAAAGCGAAGAATTGTTAATCGTGATGAACCAGTTAGAGATGTGACAGGAGCAGATGAGGCCGGAAGTTGGATGCTGCACAATGCCCCACATCCTGTGGCACTGAGGCACAGGCGGGCGAGTGGGAGTGGGTGGGGGAGTGACAGGGGAAGGGAGGACAAACAAACAGCTCCTGTGGAAGTCACATGCTAAATGTTACGTGATGCTCTGCGTCAGCGTCTCCTCATGTAAAATGCATGAAAAACAAACATGCGCGTCTTTTTTGCTTACGCATAATGTTATGGCACCACCCAGCCACCTACCCTCCCTCCTAACACTCGCTTCAGCCTGCCCTTAGTGATGTCTTCTTTATGCTGACAAATGCCTGACAGCCAGAGAGGGAGGAGGCAGGCAGGCAGGCAGGCAGGCAGGCAGGAGGCAGAAAATTGCATAAAAATGAAAAATAAAGAAAGCATCTTTATCATCTTCTTCACTGTCTCTTTCTCTCTGTCTCTGTTTCTCTTTCTCTCTGTGTTTTTGTGCCACATGTGTGTCATGCCACCAATATTCTAGCGACAGAAGACGACAAGAAGTTGTGGCATGTGGTAGCTGTGATTGCAACTCACGCAAGTCACGGCACTGCATTCGTTCGACTCCCTGAAGATGGCTGATGGAAAACCATCAGAAATGTGACTCAAGAGTGCCACACCATCTAGGGATTCCCCTCCATTAACAACCGGAAGGGGCAATTTTTACATGGAATTTAAGGCGCTAAGAGGAAAGGCAGGCAGCCAGCTCCGGTTTTCGCAAATGTTTGCTATCGATAGGGTTTCATTCCCAAATTGTTTTGCGATATTTTTGCTGTCACACTGTTCCCAAAAAAATAAACAAAAAAACGGGGGGCCTACAGAATACAGAATTATTATGATTTGCAACCGCCCCGACAGACTGTCGAGCAGAATAATCTTGAGACAAGAGCAGATGTTGCTGCTTAAAATTATGCGCAAGCGGAAGTAAATTTTTTGGATACCGTCGCCCTCTACGCGGGTGCCATTAAATTATGCGCCATCAGAGAGACAGACAGAAAGGGAGGGGAGAGAGGGAGATATATATATATATATAGAGAGAGGGAGAGAACATGCAACAGATTTTGTTTTAGTCCTGTGGTGGCTTTCGCATAACATAAATGGATTCCATTTTTCCACGAAGATAGAGTGCATGAACCCCTTTTTGGCTTGCATAATTTACGAGTTTTAGTGCCGCCATCGCCACAGCCACCGACACCAAACTGCTTTGCCCTTATGCTCGTCTGTTTTGGATCCCCAGGATGCCGTAGGATGGCGATGGCGATGGCGATGGGGACTATATGCTAATGCAAATGCTAAGCACATGCTGCTGGTGCTGCTGCAAGCAGGAGACACACACAACAAAAAAGAGCTTACAAAAATGAACTTTGCTCCCGCATTTTCGCATTTGATTAACTGCCTCCCTCGTCCATCTGCCATCTGGCATCTCCTGCTGAGGTTTTTGCCCTGATTTTACAGCATGATGAATGACGTTAGTGCCGCTGGACACACACAATGGAAGCTATAATTTATCAATTGTCTGTGGAATTATATTTAGTAGGAAAGCTCCCCTGATCATTGCTTATGGCTGGTACATCAAAGTCAGTGCATCAGCTGTCAGTTCTTAGTGGCATCTTTGCATCTATCACCTATGAAATTCCCATGCTAATATTGCAACTATTGATTGCTGCTATTAAATGTTCTATTCTATATAAAACTATTACAAAACACACACAATGTATACGTATGGCTAAAGAAATTCTCACATAAATTTCCTTATATGCCTTTCACTTTCAAACACTAGTCGTACTCGTTTTTAGTTACTCGTTACTCGTTAGTCGTTAGTGTTTATGTTCACACAATACAAACATTAAGTTAAACACTTTTATGAATAGAAATATACTTATAGCCAAGCATCTAGAACTATTTTTTTTTTCTTGTTTTATAATTTAATATGTACATAAATGTTCACGTCAATTTATCGCTGCATAAAAACAATCGGAACTAGTATATTTTGTGGCAATCATGGCGTAAACTTTGTGCCGAGGTTGCAGTTCTCACAACTGAATGTCATTATGTTTGAATACAAAACCAATTAAATATACATAAAGACATTTTTCTTTCGAATCTAGCTTACTTTGGCTCTGAAATATAAACAGCACTGCTATAGACACTGTTTAATATATACAATATAAGCTGTATGCAGTCTTCCAGTTTCCAGTCTTCCAGTTTCCTATCTTCCAGTTTCCAACCTTTCCTTTTAATTGCAATAAACACTTTTCTACAGAAGTTCATTCTGCAACGTTTGTTTTTGTTTGTTTTTCAATTCCATTGGAGACGAAGTGCAAAGTACTTCCAGCACATCTCGAGTGGCGGGCGATAATTTCAATTGAATCATTAGCCAGGAATGGGAAAAATATCTGCTGCAAAATGCATTTGCCTGATGCTTGTGGGGAGGGGGGTCACCGCTTTTGTTATCCTTGCAGCCAACCCCACCCAGCCCAAAACGCAAAACGCCAAAACCCCAGCCACATTCCCATGCACACAGTTTTCCCTTAGGTCTCCCATCCGGCAGCAGATCCTTCTGGTCCCCATGGGCGGAGTGCTGGAACTTTCGACCCAAATCGAGATTTGGCACACAACTTTCGAGTGGGTTGGGCGGGCTGGGGGGTGGGCTGCTGCCCTGGTCTCCGCGGGGTTTCTCTGTTCGCATGGACAGCATTTTTTTGGGGGGGATATGCAAATTTAATTAAATTTTTGTCTGCACACGCACACAGATGCGACCTAGTTGTTTGTTGGTGTGGAAGGGGGAGGGGTGGGGAAGGGAGGGGGATAGAGCTGCACAAAATTAATTGCAGGAAAGTGTCAGGGAGGGATCTCTGATACGCGTAATCGTCTTCAGGCAGAGACAACTTGCAATTATCCAGAGAACAGAACGAAAAGAATGGGACACATGCAGCCCACATGTACGTTGCACATTTCATGCACATATGCAGACGGCATGGACTGTCTTGTCTCTGACTGACTGACTGACTGACTGAAGGTCGGTCGTTGCCTACCGCACCATTCATAATGCGCCACAAAGTAGGCAAAAGGCAAGGCAGGGCAGGGCGAGGCAGGGCAAGCATTGTTTTGCGGCATTGTTATATGTATGTATCTCATTGCACCCATTCCACACACATCCCACACGTATCCCTCCTTATTCTCCGTCATTTGTCGTACTGTTTGTCCTCTCTTGTCTTATCGTCGAATCGTTTCGTTTCGTGCTCGTTTGTCCACTCGTCCGCGTACTCGTTCCCGTACACGTACCCGTATCCGTATCCTTACTCCTCTCTGTGTATTATTGCCAGAGTTAAATCTTAGGCTAAGCTAGAAATCCACTCAGACACACACACACATACACATATCTCTCTCTCTCTGTGTATGTGCTATATATCCATATCTAGTCCGATCTTCAGTCTAACACGAAAATTAACTGAACAATTCCCCCTCCCCCCCCAAACAATTTTACAGTGCGCAGCTGTCGTACCGGCAAACAGGTGCAGATGACCGAGGCAGAGGTGCGCGGCTTATGCCTGAAGTCGCGCGAGATATTCTTGCAACAGCCGATACTGCTGGAGTTGGAGGCGCCGCTGATCATCTGCGGCGACATCCATGGCCAGTACACAGACCTGTTGCGGCTGTTCGAGTACGGTGGCTTCCCGCCGGCCGCCAATTATCTGTTCCTCGGCGATTATGTTGATCGGGGCAAGCAGTCGCTGGAGACCATCTGTTTGCTGCTGGCCTACAAGATCAAATATCCGGAGAATTTCTTCTTGTTGCGCGGCAATCATGAGTGCGCCAGTATTAACAGAATTTATGGTAAGTGTACGTGTAAATATATTATAAAAATTCAATTTATATGCAAATTCAATTCCCCCGTCCAGGCTTCTACGACGAGTGCAAGCGCCGGTACAATGTTAAACTTTGGAAGACCTTCACAGACTGCTTCAACTGTCTGCCGGTGGCCGCCATCATCGACGAGAAGATATTCTGCTGCCACGGCGGCCTCAGTCCCGATCTGCAGGGCATGGAGCAGATCCGCCGCCTCATGCGGCCCACAGATGTACCCGACACTGGGCTGCTGTGCGATCTGCTGTGGAGTGATCCCGACAAGGATGTGCAGGGCTGGGGCGAGAACGATCGTGGCGTGAGCTTTACATTCGGCGTGGATGTGGTTTCCAAGTTCTTGAATCGTCACGAGCTTGACTTGATTTGTCGTGCGCATCAGGTGAGTGACAGCAGAGATGGCCCCCCATCTAGGGATTGGTGTGGAGTCTGAGTCAACTAATAATAATCTCATTTTAGGTGGTGGAGGATGGCTACGAGTTCTTTGCACGTCGCCAGCTGGTCACACTATTCTCGGCGCCCAACTATTGCGGCGAATTCGATAATGCTGGCGGCATGATGACCGTGGACGATACGCTCATGTGCTCATTTCAGGTAACATATACCCAAAGCATAAGGAGTTCGCCGCTTTAATCTCGGTTTTTATTTAATTTGTAGATATTGAAACCATCCGAGAAGAAGGCAAAGTATTTGTACAGTGGAATGAACTCGTCGCGACCCACTACACCGCAGCGAAGCGCCCCAATGCTGGCGACCAATAAGAAGAAATAATATATCCATCCGCTTCCATTTCCTTAAAGGTTCAACAACAAAACAAATAGAAAGAAAACACTAGTATACATACATACATACATACATACATACATACATACATACAAACATACATAGATATATAGATATATATTGAAGATCGAAAATGGCAAAATCTACAGTGAGTGTGAGAGACAGAGAGAGAGAGAGGAGAAGGAAAATATTGTTAAAATCTCTCTATGTGTGCATATGGATAAACGTATATGTTATGTACTGTATTTGTATTCTATCTATCGCTATATATTTTCATGTGTGAAAACAACAAAAACAAAACAAAAACAACATAATTAAGTTGATTCTTCTGCATTTCAAAATTCTTTGTTGACTGGAAATTGTTACAGCGTAAACACAACCACAACCACCCCCACACCCCGCCCACACACTGTTAAACCACAAAAGAAAATCCCGAAAATTCAGATAACTATATAAATTAAATTAAATTAAAAAGTACAGCGACGTTAAGCCATGAATTTAAATATAGGCATATTAATGTAAACTACATATACTATATACGGTGTACTTCTCTATATACATACATATGTATGCATACACTTACACTACAAAACTAACGAATGCGAATGCGATATCGAAAGCGAAACTACAGCAAAATTGTAACTTAAATGCTATCCACCATTCACCAGCCACCATCATCCACTCCTTGATTATCACGAACCCAAAAAAACCTTGCTTAAATTTCCCCCCTCCCCCACACTACTTTCCTGTTATCGTCTGTATAAGTGTGCATTACAAATTTTGTCTAACAAAAGTTTATCAACAAAAAAGAAAAAGAATAACAAAAGTTACAACAAAAAAAAAAGAAGATACAAACTATGGAAAATAAAATGGAAGGATTATCTACCACTTAAGCTTAAAACAGTTGTACTCTGTGCGCTTGTGTGTGTCTGTGTGCGTGTGTGTGTGTGTGTGTATTTTATTTATTATTTACTTAGCAATACGAAAATAGATGAAGTTCTATTCTATTGTTTTATTTTTTTATTTTTTGTTTGTTTTGTCATTGTTTGTCATTGTTTAAATTATTTATTGCCTTTAACTATACTTATAAACAAAGGAAACGCAACTAAACCCTAAACAGAGATAATTCAATATTATATATAATATATAACTACACATATTTTTTTTTGCGTTGTACCATGTTTAAGTGACGCGAAAACTATTAACTGCTAACCGGTTAATGGGCATTTAAGGACACTCGACTCGAGGCTTGTTTGTTTTCCCCCATGAATCCAATACCAATACCTAGCGAAAATCCAACCTACCTTTAACTTTAACCTTTAGCCTCACACACACAAAACAAAAAACAAACAAAAACAAAAGAATGTTGAACGAAAAAAACTACAAAAAAACCACAAAAAAACCACAAAAAAAAGAAAACAAAAAGTAAGGAGAACAAAAGAAAACGAATTTTGAAAGCATTGAAAAGCATTACTTCGAAGTACTTGAAACACCAATTTTTTGTGCATCTTTTATTTATATAAAAAAAATTTGAGGAATTAGCAGATATTTAGCAGATTGAAGCGATATATGTTTATATATATATATATATATTTAAAATATATATGTATATATGAAGAGATAAAACTAATTTTTTTCATCGTCGTAACTTATTAGATTGTAGTGCCTTTTTTGCCTCCCAAAACAACAAAAACAAATAAAACAAACCAATAACAAAATATAAACTAACAAAATATGGTTTATATATATATACCAAATATATATATACATACATACATACATACATAGTATACATTTTATATGCAACAAGGCGGAGATAGGTAGCGAGAGAGAGAGAATGAGTGAGTGACGGAGCAGGAGTAGGGTAAAAAGAGGGTCAAGAAAAGCTTGTGGAAAACAAGTCAATTAATTGCATTACAAATAAACCAACAAATAACAGAAGAAACAGATGAAACAGTGACAAAAACAATTGTCGTCGTATTTCTCTCTCTGATTTAAGCCTCTGTTTAGATCCTCTCTGATTTCGGATTTCGGCCAATTAGCAAAAACCCCATTTCCCCATAATCTGTTAAAGCTAAAGGAGCCGCAGCTATATATATATATATATATATATAAAGATAAATATGATATGAATAAAAGATGGTATAGAAAATACTACAAATGGCAATGGCCATGCGATAACGAGAGATGAAAAGAGATAGAGACGAGAGAAGAGAAAACGAAGAATTGGGATAAACAAATGAATATATTTATTATTAAAAATCAAATAAAAATTAATAAAAACTTTATGTAAACAAAGCTACACGTGTTTTTTTTTTGGTATAGTATTTCTGTTCAGTATGGATGTATACATGTTGGGTGGGCGCGCAGCCGGGCTGCCCTTCTTTATCATCTTGCAGGTGTAGGTGGACTGAACGCAGTGAATTGCAGCTGTGTCATATCGATCCTGTGCCAGCGTCTCCGCAGATTATCTCCGCAATACTCGATGTCATATTGCTCGACTCTCCTGCGCTCTCAGGCCACGCTCTCAGCGAATACGAATTAAGAGAATAACGGATTGAGCGCTGCTTGTTGAAGGTTTGGCGGACTAAATGGTGCATCTCTTGAAAACATATTCAGCTCCGAATCTGAAACTATCTAAACGAAGTGAAATCAAGCTGCACATCAAAAACGGACTGAATCAAATTGCAAAATTTATTTCAATATTGTATAGGCTATAAAGAGACTTTCAATCTGGTAGGAGGACACAGAAGATTTCTGTAGTTGCATCGGCAATACCATAATCCCCACGAACCCCTTCAGAGAGAGAATTGTGAGAACTTTTACCTTTTTCCATAGTTTATTTTGAATACAGGAAATGACAGATATTTTCAAGAAGGAATACGAGCATCAGACACAGCAGATATGACCATTCAAAGTTGAACATTTTTCCAGTGAGCAGCAAGAGAGAATATTTTCCTTTCAGTTCTGCGTGGCGTATATTTATTAAGCTTTTTGGCCTAATTCTTTTGTGGATTACTTACAGGCTATCCCAGGCTTTTTGGCCTGGCACAGAATTCAGTGACAGAACCTACCTGAACTTACAAAAGCTTTTGTTCCTGGAGAAGCTTTTTGGTAAAGAAAAACTAGCTTTTCGGAAATAGGGAAAGCTTTCTTCGGAGTGCCTGCTGGCTCTGTTATTCAACGGACGGTGTGACGACAGCATTGGGTTGCCCCCGTCGCCTGGTGGTTGGTGCTGGGTTTTGGGTGTTGGGTGTTGGGTCTCCCTCCACGCTGTAGCTCCATGCTGATTGCCAGAAAGCCAAGCCGTGTTAGCCCGCTAGTTTGCTTAATGGTCAACACAGACACACAGGCACGGCCAGCTGATGGGCAGCCAAATACTTTTGAGCTCCCGCTGGGTAAGGGCTCGCCCGCCCGCCCTAAGTCACAGCAATTCTCGGCAATCATCCGCTGAGTCGCAATTTCAAAAAGAGAATGAAAACAAGCAGAGTTTCTGGCTAGATTGTATGCTAAACATTTATTGTATTATGTTTTCGGATGTCCTAGTGCGGTCTGGTCTGTCTGTCCCCAGAGCCACGGAGCCCCACGACCCCAACCCTGCCCTGTGCCACCTCTTGTTGCGGTGCGCCATCAATCAAGGGGCCCACACCACACTCCTAGCTGGCCCCGGTCTGGTGACAGAGCAAACAGCAAGAGAACACCAACAACAAAAACAAAAACAAAATGTGTGTGTCGGCGGCAAGCTTCGCTTAGAGTCCAACTCTTACATTATAGAGTATGTAAATATGTATTGTATGTAGGTATTTAATCCAGACTTAGATCTAAATAGACATCTATAGTAGGTATACAATATATATAATCATATACATATATATATATACATATATGTCATTTGACTGTGTATAATTTTGTTTATTTTTAGAGTATGCTCCAAGTGTATGCGAATTAGGATTCTCCATTCTCAGTGTACTCATAGAAATGCATCACATATGTTTACTTGTACTTATATATATATATTTGATATATCTATGTATTTGTTTTTCTTTTCTTTTGAAAGCAACAAACATACACACACAGCAAAATGCACATCGATAACGTTTAATTGTTATATTTGGTTATTGTTTTGTTTTGTTTTTTTGCTTTCTTTTTGGGTATTAATATTAATGCATCTTTATTGTATTTGCCATTAATGGTTACATATATGTACGAGTATATACGAGTATGTATGTATGTAATTTATATAATATGAGTATCTGGGTCGCTGATGTCGCTAAATTTTTGTGGAGTTTACTCCGTTTACAGGCGTCCCAACCTCGCTAAATTCATTGATTCTGGCATATTCAATTTAATTATTGTTGCTGCCCAATAACTCTCTAGACACTTATACATAGATATACATACATATGTATGTAAGCATGCATGTACTTGTGTTATAAATTCATGTGAATATTCTTTGTTAAAATCGTTATTAATTTAGCTTTGGTTTTGCTTCATTGATGATAGTTTTGATCCCGACATATGCCCAGACTATATCTGCCACAGGACCGTTTTTGGTTGCACAAAATGCGGACACAGAGAGTGCGGAGAACCATCAGGCCCCGAGGCAAGATATAGGGACTCAATTGGGCATATGTAGGGGGGGCATCGCGAAGCATCAATAAACTTTTCAAAAAAAATCGTATTTATTGCAGTAGTTTGCTTTATTTAGTCGTAGTACACCCAGATGGAGTTTCTCCAATAATTCGCCCCTTTGCTGGGATACAGTACTTGCAGATATAGAGGATCTGCACTATTATAAATCTCATGCCAGAATATGAATGTGGGCGGCCCATCTGTCACTGCCTCGTCGACCTCCACGCGCTTTGCATTTGGATTTTGCTTTGGGTTGCATTTCTTAATTTAATTAATTAATTCATAGATTGAATTCAATCTGCCAGACCACAACTCTGCAGGAGGAAGGGTGGTGTGCTGGGTGTCTGGGGTCCGCACACAGATACATATGTACATATGCGACTGTTTCCTTTGTGTTGTTTTGGTTGCCTTTACACACATATACAAGTGTATATATGGTATGTATGTGGGAGTATGTATATTGTATATTGTAAATACGTTTTTCTGCTTGAAACCGCAACAAGATTTTCACATTTAGATTTAGGTATTTCGCATATTACGAGTAGTACATTTGATACGATTTTATATTGGTATTTTGGTTATTTCTTAATTAGTTTTTAGTTTTATTTTTTTGTTTGGCTCTGTCTGCCTCTGTTTCTGCTGCTTTGTAAATACACATCAAATATGAATATACTCGTTTATTTGTAGGTATGTATTGTAGACATTCATATCCATAGAATACTCTATGTGTAGTGGTAGCTGTATATGGGACTTGTATATTGGTAGATAGTATTTGTATATTAATTGTTTTTTTTGTTTAGTTGTTGCACATCAATCAGAATTCTATGGTGTATATTGTATATCGATTTCATTGAACATTCACTTACGAGTCTAAAAAAAAACCAGTTACAATATGTGTGTGTGTATGTGTGTGTTAGTTTGGTTGTTTAAGTTCAGTTGGCCACCAAATTCTCTTCAATTTCCATTCGATATAAATTGTTTAATTATGCCATGGATACGGTGGCAGATTACTTACATACATGTATCTTATTTATGTTTGTATGTATGCATGTCCATTTATCGTTAATTAGATCAAGTTGATTTCAAATTCCAATTCAATTGCAATTCGCAATTATTTAAATCTTGTCAGCAAATATCATAAATTCATGGCATTGCATTTGGGGGATTAATATCAAACATCCATCTTATTATTATTATGGCTGTATGTAGGTGCTATCTTATGGCTACAATCTACGTTCAATCCAAGAACTGCCTTCCTCATCCTTCATCCTTTATCCTGCATGCTGCCTTTTGCTTTCTGCTTTCGCATGAAATTCTAGCTTGAATCAACAAAATTTCACCTGGCCCTCATTCTCGAGACTTCTTCGATTTTCTCCGATAACTAACTCCGATAACTAACTCCGATAAATACTCCGAAGCGACTCTGACCAACTAACATTCCATGAATCCTCTTACCCTGGCAGCATAGATTTCTCTGTGCTTAATCTACTCCCTTTTAGTCTTTCGATCGCGTCTGAAAACCGTATGTCTGCTTAATTTCTTATTATGATTTATTTCTCAACCTTTGAGCTGGGCGTTGGCCTGGGACTCTTTCGATTCCTGGGCTCCTGAAACCGAAACTGAAACTGTTTTTTTTTTGGTTGTTTACTCGATATATAATCAAGAATTAATACTACCCCTTTATAGATTTGCACGCGCCCCCCCACAACCCCCACCTCTGTACGAGTTACGAGCCTGCACTGCACAACGTTCTCAGCCTTTCCTCTGCTCCTCTGCGCCTCTACTACTCTGGTACCTGACCTGTTGACTGTTCCTCTACTGTAGAATCCTCTGTGGCATCCTGTGATCCTCATCTTATTCCCTTCTGCTTACCTTACCCTCACCCTCACCCTCACCCTTAGATGGTTAATCTTCTTCCTTGTTTGCTGTGCCTCTGCATTACCCTTCGTGCGCCACGCCACTGTCTCCCCCCTTTAGCTACTCCCGTTCTGCCAATACACACCCCCGCCCCCCAGCCAACCCCTATGGCTTTCTCTTGCGCTTGGCAAACATCTGGGACCACAATCAGAATCAGACATCTGTAGACTTGGGCACGGCCCCAGTCTCGGCGCCTGGTGCTTGAGCGCGCTCCAGCTCGGACTTCTGCTCCTGCTGCTGCTCGTCGTCGGTTTGCTGGGATCGCTCCACCTTGGTGGGCTCCTGCGAGAGGTGAATCTGGACAATGTGCTCCGCCCGGTCGTCATGCGGCTCGGTCAGGTGTTCGTCGCTCTCCTCGAGATCTCTGGCCAGTGTCTCGCTGCGCTGCAGTCGCCGCTTTTGTGGGGCGTTCTTTTGCCCGGCAGCTGCTGGAATGGGGATGTGTATATGGAACTCATCGTCCGCTGACTCGATGCGGTCGAGGTGACCTCCAGACGAGCTGGCGCCACCGCCTCCACCTCCGCCGGACGCGGTGGATTGGGCGGCCGCAGCAGCGGCACTGGTGGATGGCCCATCCCCGCTTTCAGCCCCCATGGGGGGATCCCGGCGGTTGGCACGTCGCCCGGTGGGTGCGTCGTGGAGCGCCAGCTTTTCCATCTCGATGCGTAGCTCGCCGAGGGTGGCCGATGCGAAGCCCGGGCGCCTGGTCTCATCCACGTGCACCAGTACGAAGGGGAGCTTTAACGACAATTCGCCACCCATGCTGCTCAGAGTGAGCTTTACCTTGATGTAGTAAGACACATAGATGGCGAAGATGTTCCGATCCTCCGTCGACGTGGTGGTGGCGTTTCCCTGCTGTGGTGGCATATCGGCACTGGGCATGGCCATGGCCGGACTGGGCAGCGACTGTTGCCCGGACTGTTGCACATTCGGCACAATATAGTGGGGAGGACGTATTGCCGAGGCGGCGATCTCCCCAGTGATCTCGTCCGGCTCGGTACTTCGCTGCAGCGAGTCCTCCAGCGCGATCCAGTTCTTCGTTTGGCCGCGCTGGGGCCGCAACACCACCACCGAATTGACCGTGGCACCCGGGCTTACGGTACGGTCCACCGGCGGCGAGATTTGCTCCGAGTCAGCTACAACGTTCTTAAACTTCCCATTGTTGAACATACAGACGTCCACATGCTGAATGGCGCACACCTGTCCCACGCCCCCACAAATAAGAATAGAACAAAACAGAACAGAACAGAGAGAACGTTAGAGATGAGAATGTGAATGAGAGATGGGGCATGGGAGATGTCTGGGGGAAGGTCATTGCTGTGGCTGTGTAGCAGGAGTCATTGCAAAGCCACATAAGCCGCCAGGGAGGCCAGCGACAGCGACAGGGACTCTGACAGGGTCATGAAATTGCAGATTGCGAATGCCCTGACTTTACGCAGAGTCCCTCGGGCTAGACACTTGCCACAAATAACGGATACATCTGTTAATGAGCAGCCTCCTCCAAGCTGCTGCTTCATGACCATCGTTAAGAGCATTCTGCAGTCACCTCCATGTGTCCCCGTGTCCCCGTGTGCCCGTGTGCTGTCCTGTTTGCTTTGGATAAGCGCCAACAATGTCAAACATTATTTTATTGGCTCGGCCCAAATGGCTCTCTGGCTCTGTGGCTCAATCTCCCGCACAATCAACGATAATGCACTCAATTACCGTCCATTCAAGCGGTCATGTAATAATACGAGTATCCATGCAGCAAAAACCGCCCAGCCACAAACAGGGCGGTGGTGGGGGGTGCAGAAAAATAAATTAAACTCCGCAATGGTTTCACTTATTGACGGCCTATCAATGGGGGGTTTTTTTTTTGTTGGTTTTTTGGTTTTTTGGACCGGACCTGTTACGGCAAATGCTCCGCTCCCATTTTTACCTACACAGTGCCTCATCGATTATATAACGCTGAAGGGATTTTTCTAGGAGGGCCTCAAAGTGCCTACTGGATACCCAAAGCAACTAAGCAACTGGTACCAAAAATTGGAGTGGCCCAGCTCTCCCTCGATGACCATTCAAGTGCCACATTTGCAAAAACCTCAAAGGCAAAGAAACTGTTTTCAATCCGATTTGATTTGATTTGGTTCCATTCCATTTGATTTCATTTACAATAAGCAAGCACTGTGCACCATGGGCACCAACGACCGACCCCTTTAGCTGGCCACAAGCAAAAACTTTAACAGAGCGCAGCGCAGCACTGTTAAGTTGTCAAGTGCTGTTAACAGCGCTGTTCGCTGGCGCGTAGCAGATGCTGTTAACACGGAAATATTCGTTTTTCAACTGCAAAATGCTCTAAAGTCTCAATTGAAATCATTTAGGTGAAACATTTTAATGCAGTCTAATCAGAGTGGTTTTTTTAATTTGTGTGTGTTTCGGTTTTGAACAGCAGAAATTTTGCTTCTCATCGTTTAACGTGCATAAACCTGGCCCACAAAATGAGTCCAAACGATTCCGAGCATAAGCCTCCAAGGCACGTTGCAGATTATTTAATTCCCGTTAACATGCATTTCACATTGAAAATCTTAAACCAAAGCCACTGGCACTTATTTCTGAGTACGCTGATGGGCATTGCAGAAGATTAAAGTAAACGCTTTTTTATTTGCCGCATTTCATGGAAATGCAAAAATTGCAAATTAGAAATTAGAAACAATTGAGAAGAAAACCATTCGAGTACAATCGTAAAAATTACAACAACAAAAATGTTGCACTGAAATTTCGCTGCAGTGCCAGAAAGTTTTAAAACACGAAGAAAATAGGCTGCAGAATATACATGGCAGGCAAGGTACATTTATTATTAATTTAGGTAGCGAGCACAGCATACATACATGTACATATATGTATGTAAATATATATGTACCCACATATGTTTTATGTGCTATGGCAGATGTCCGAAAATGTCTGGCCATATGTCTAGAAAGGGGCCAAATCTCTTGCTTAATGCCATTAAATTACCATTATCACGGCATGAAACGTTTTATTGCTCCCTGCCTTTATTATTGCATATTTGAATGCACATTTTATTTGCTGCTGAGTGCTGGAATCCTCGGTGTCTGATTCGAAGCTGACTTAAGATATAAGCTGATTGATTCCGAACTAAAAATATGTCTTCATTGGGCAGTCATTGGTCCCATAGTGCATTGTTTGGCTGAATGGTCGGGCCTAAGATCTAATCTGGAGTATGCCTGCCGAAATGGGCCCCGAATGGCTCGACAAACTTCTTCATTGGGTTGGCCATTTCTCTGGGGGTCATTTCGGCACGTTCCCCTATCGAAACGAGAAATCACAATCTTTCAGCGACTATTTCAATACACATTTCTCATTTCCATGCAACATTTAAATGTGATGCCACCCCACCCCACCCCACTCCACCCCACCCACACCGCGCCCAGCCACTTCGGGCAGCTGCTTTGACGGGGCACAAGTACGAGGAGTATTTTTCTTTTGTGCGACAGACTTGCGGGACACTTTCAATTGGCTCAGGTCCAGAAGCATTTTGTATTCGATTGACTTTTTGGCTGCCTCGGGGAGGACTTGTTGCTGTGGCTTCTCTGCCGTTCCGCTTCCACTACCACTCTCACTCACCCCCTCTCCACGCCACCCCCTGTTCGTTTACGTATTTCAAAATTGAATAACAAATGTCCGAGCTAGCCAAAGAGCCAGCAAGCTTCTTTCATTGGACTTTTTGTTCCTTTGCGAACTTTTCACATTTAATGGCGAAAAAGTACAAAGCAATTTCAGCATTTCCCCCCACCACACACACACACACACAGGCAGCCATAAACATACATATTTAATAAAGCGCAAAGTGCACGAGTCGAGTGGAAGTGGAATGAGCGGTACACGAAAAAAAATAAGTATAGCATACTTTCCCGCTGCCTAGAGGACAAAGGATGAAAGGACAAATCGAAATCGAATCAGGCGACTGCATAAGAGATGTTCGCTGGCCTTATCTGGGAGCTGTGAGCTGTGAGTGGACATGACAGGACAGCCACCAACATCCAATGAAAATTGCATTTATTTGTTGTCCGTACTTCGATTATGTGCCAGTTATTACTCGGTTATCCATAATCCATAAATATGTATAAAAGATATTTAGAAGAGATAAATCTCAATGGGAGTCGGCGTTAGCCCTTTTTTCTGGCTAAATGTTTGCCCGCAAACTCTCTTTCCAAACTCAATTAAATGTATAAACTTGCCTGCCGTTGACGTTGCACAATCCTCCTGTTCATTCTGCCCCATCCCCCCCTATAGCGCCTATACTTTGATTCGATTGAAGGTTTGCTTCAAGGGGGTTTTTTCTGGTTCTTTAAGCATTCGATCATTAATTGCACGCATTCGAGTCCTTGCTTTGAGCCAACAAGAAATTGCGTCCATTGAAAATGCGCCACTGGAGCTGTTCAAGTTCTGTCTGGCCTTGGCGCTCAGTGTCCACGTTGTTCTGTTCTGTTGTGAAACATCTTACGATTGATAGCTTGTGAATTATTTACGCTGGCTGGCAAGTCAATTCCATATGTGCAAGTGTCATAACTTGTATCTGTCTGCGACTTTATCGATGGCGATGTCGATGTCGATGACGATGTCAATGTCTGTGTCGTCTCGTATGTTCGCTGTGTCTGTGGCTGTGCCCCTGGCCCGTACACGTACACGTACATGCATGGTAGCATACATGTGTCCCATTCATCAATTTCATCAATGAACAATGCGCTGTGAAAATACTGCGGTTACAATAAAAATAAACAATAACATTTGACAGCCGGCACCATAAAACATTTTCCATGGCGCACTCAAGTCCCCGGCCACAGACAGCTCACCGCTTCGTGGCACTGCACTGGCAGCAGGAAGCCCTGCTGCCATTTCTTCACTCAGACTTGAGTCCTGTTCTTGCATTATGCATTTTGCATTTTGCATTAGCTGCCAGCTGCCTTTTTGTCATTGAATTGTGGCCGTTGCTCTGTGTCTCTCCCCCGCGCCCTCCCAGTGTCTCCTCGCTCTTTGAATGCGTAATATCCGGTGCGTAATTAAAAGGCAAGTCTAAGGACCGGCAGGGAAAGCTGATTTTTCACCTCTTGCGAACCAATTTACGGCCAGTCAGCAATAAAGTCCTCCGACCTGCCAATTATCCTCGGAACTGGCACACAGTAAGCCCCACCCCACAGCAACATGCAATAACCATGGGAACGAGAGACAGAGACAGAAACAGAGACAGAAACAGAGACAGAGACAGAAACAGAGACAGAAATCGCCTGCCATCGAGCAGCGAAGGCAACTGTACTCCGTTACTCCCAGAGCAGCGAGCAGTGCAGGTAGCTGCTGCTGTCTGCAATCGATGGTTGCACGACAAATAGTCAGCAGCAGCGGCAACTGTACCCCCGGATGATGCTGCATGACTGTGATGATGTCTACAAATTAAGGAAATTCGGCCAAAAGCAGTCATGGAAAAAGGTAAAATCGAACAGCAGGCAAAAACCAACAGGTCTCGGGCTAGCTGCTTTCAATTTCTTCGAGAGTCAAGGCGAGTCTCTAGGCTGGGGCTGCCAAAAAGGTGAGTGCCACATAGAACGCAACGCCCTTCGGGGCACAATCTACCAGTATGTAGAAGCGGCAGACAAAAACCATCTGCATATTTGTTTGTTTATGTGAAAAAATAAACACAATTTTCTTTTCAGCTTTGGCTTTGCCAGCCTGGCTTATCCTTTGCTGCCCCTGTGCCTGTCCCAGTCCCATCCTGGAGATTCATCAGTTCTGCCATTTCATGCGGGTAAAGGTCTTGTTTTTGTGTGACCCTCTGCTTGATTTGTCGCTGCAGAAGGACTTTGCCTGTCCGTCAGTGCGTATGAGCAATCATAATCGTAATAAAAACCCAAAGGTATTCAAACTTGTTGCATAATACGAGTACTCGCCCTCGTACTCCTACACGTATCTTCATTTTTCTGTATAATTAATGCAGCAGAGATTGCTGCTAATTACATAACTGAAGCGCTGATTTACCTGCGCCATTGCCTTTAATTGGGTATGTGATTTAATGTACTCAATTGAACACTCCTGCATATGCATACGCATGTACTTTGCTTGCTCTGCCTGCGCTCACATTCCATACAATTTTCAATAAATTTTCTTGCTATTATTTTGCTGTTGGCAGTGACGAATTTGCAATTGGAATCTGATCGCCTTGCTGTCTGCTGTCTGACATGCCTGTCATGCATGGCCCGGCCCGGCCCGGCCCACACATAATCTCTGTCTTAGGCAGCCGAATGGCATCGTTACTTCAGGTGCGAGTATGTACAGTATTCCATAATGGATAAAAAGGCAGCTGCCTAAGCTGCTTTGAATAATCTTCAGACACCCCCTACCACCCCCTGCGAGTGTCTTGTCTCTCGTTGCCTGTTCAACCAATTTCATGGCTCACAGTTTAAAAGCCTGGCCCCTTAATTAATGCCCCTAATTGAAATTTCCAGTCTAAAATGGCATTAATTCACATTTTGTGGCAGTGGCGCGTCATGCGATGCATTAATTCAATCAGAGATATCCATTTCGAAAACGTGTCCATTGTCAGAAGGTTTGCTGCAGAGCTGCAGCTGCACTCTGCATTTTGCACTCTGCTGCTGTTTGCACAAAACAATAATGAAATTACAATAATGCTGCGAGCATTGACCAGGCAACGCCACACCATTGTTTTGGCATTTACGTGCAATATTGTGAAAATTATCTTGGTAATTGGCTGAGCAGCCCAGAGCATGCCCAGAGCAGCGCGCTGCTACGGCCAGGGAGGTTGCGTGTGCGTGTGCGAGTGCGTCTGGGCTGGAAAACAATAACTGGCTTAGGTGCTGCAGGCAGATGCAGGCCCCATATTATCCGCTTTGCATTGATGGCTATTATTTGGTGGACTTTGGTACTCGGAACGTAGACACAGTCCTGCAGCTGTAACTGATCTGAACTCTGGCCTGCTTAAACTCCTTGGCACTGGGCACTGACATACGTCCCATTGCGACTGTTGATTTACTGTCATAGCATGGCCCTGGTCAATGCACGGAAACATAACCCATACACGTATGCGTACACATAGACAGTCTGGCCAGTGGCTAACCATTCGTATTGTTCCTGGTGCTCCGTTCACATTTTTTTTTCCTGCCTCATTCAATTTCTTGTCAATGCTCAATCTCAGGCCTTCTGGATCAATCCCAGGCCTAGTGATACGAGTCTATGCTCTTATGCATAAAGGGAATGTGCATGCCAGTGCCGTTTTTATGCCTGCTGCTTCATGGGCGTGTCTGCGTGTGTGTGTGTGTGTGTGTGTTATGCAATCACAGTCCCAGTGCCTCCCATGACGAGGATGCACATAATTCAGTTGATAGATGGGGGGGGTAGAAATGAGGAGTAAGCACCACCTGAAGCAGCAGTTAGGCATGTGTTCGCTATCAGCCTTCCATTTTCATTATGCCCTTGTGTTTTTTACGGTTAGACCAAAAAGCAACACTGCGTATACGTTATATGAATTGATAGTCACGAGTGGCACAGTGTTACGCATGGCAATCGCTACAAAATGGCGTAAGCGGAAAGCGGCCAAGTGGCATGGGAATAGGGAAAGTGGAAAGAGGACAAGGAGGAGGAGGAGGATAAGTGGGCAAGTGGAGACCACAAGGCAAATGCACTCAATACTCACCCTCACTTTTCGGACCGTCTTGCGGCTGTCGTTGCGTATCTCAATGGTCACATTGACATCCTCGCCATGGGTGTACCAGCCCTTGTCCAGGCTGGCCTTTAGTCCGACGCGGCCGTCATGCAGCAAAAACGGCTTGTCCACCGAGCCCTGGGGTCCGCCGTCGGGGCCGAGGGTGATGCTGCCAATGCCCCCGGATACGCCTGCACCGCTAAATGGCGCCAACATGCAGTCGCAGTGATGCTATTCAGATACAGATGTGACGAGACAAGTTAGCACGAACCATGGCACCCAGGCACTCAGGCCATCAGGCCCTCAGGGCTCACTCACCTCCTGGAAGGACTTGCTGTAGTTGTGGAACGAGTCCGGTGGGCATTTCTCGATCTCGCTCTTGCTGCGGCCAAAGCGGCCGCTGAACCGGAATGCTTTCGGCGACAGGCGCAACTTTGGGAACGAGTCACCCCGTTCGGATTTGCCCTTCGCCTTCGTACCGGAGCCCAGGGAATGGGTCGGTGTTTGGGTCTGCTGCTCGCTGGTCTCCCTGTTCACCGGCAGCGTGGCGCTGGATGGTGCGGCCGGTGGCGACGTCTTGGCTCCGGCCTGATGATGGCACCCAGAGCAGGTGGCAAAGTGCTCCGTGCTCGAATGCTGAAAGACGTCCGTGCGGTAGATGACCCGAACCCCCATCTTGACCGAGGCCCGTCGATGGAACTTCTCGTCCGTCTTATCAGCTTCATGGTTGACAAGCAGCGACACAGACGCCAGGGGAAAAGAACAAAACAAAACGAAATGATTTCAGTTGGTTTGGCATCGTGGAAGAGTTGCTGGAAGCTGCCGCTGTCGTGTGCCGCTGCCGATGCTCAAATTTCGAGGAACAAAAAAGAATGTTGCCCAATTCTGTTGTTGTCTGTTTTTTGTTTGTATGATAACAATTTTCATTTCGGTCGTGTCCGGGTGGGTGAGGGTGTGTGGGAGGGGGCTGCTCGGGGGGCGTGTCCGTTCAAATGTCAGTCGATTGTGCGAATGCCAGAAATCATAATTTAATTATTTTGTAATTTTGTGGAATGCCATTTTCTGGATGCTGGCGAGCGGCCACAAGAACGGAGTGCAAAAAAAAAACAAAAAACAAAAAAATAATTACACATTGGAACATGGAACAAATGGAAATGACACACGCACACACACACACACACACACATAGAAATGGTAGTGTTACTGGAGGGGGGAGCGGGTAGTAAAGATGGAAAGATGCAGATCAAGAGAATAGATAGGGATGAGTGGGGGTGGGGTGGGGTGGTTGATGATCCAAAAGCGCACACGCACACTCATTCGCACACTTGCACGAATAGCACACAGATTCGCGGGAAAAAAAAAAAAGGCCTCGGTAGCCGAAGCTTCAAATACGAGTATGTGCCCTTGCAGAGTGCAGATCCCATATAATACGTATTTGTAGTATTTGGTAGAGCCTGTGGCCTGTGAAGACTTATCGAATTGCAGATGGAAACAGTGCTCGGCACGCACACACTCACATGGTTTGCAATGCGTTTGTGTGCGTAGACAGCAGCCAAAACGGAACAATGGGTACGTGAGCGGCAGCACCCTTTTCCATACCCAATGGAAAGGGCCGTGCCCAGATCTGCCCTGAAACCTAAGCTTCCTCGACGACGGACGGACTTCTGTTTTGAAATTAATTATTTAAATGCATTTTGCAAGGGTACACAGCGAAATAAGAATGAAACAGAAACAGAAATACAGGAGAATAGACAGACAGAGAGGGAGACAGAGAGAGACAGAGAGACAGAGAGAGAGAGGAGAGAGAGAGAGAGGCAGAGAGAGAGAGGTTGGGAGGAGAGCAAGGCAAAAAACAACAACACCAAACGGAATGAAACGGAAACGAAACGGAACAGTCACGATCACGACACCGATCGGAGCCGATCTGATCGAAACGCAGCCGATCAGAGCCGAGCTCCACATCCGCCCCGACGATCTAATTACCTTCGTCGGATGCTGTGCACATACACGCAAAACAGCATTCGCAAAGGCGAGTGAATCGACTCGGCCTTTTCTGAGGGGCGGCCTCCATTCTTAACATTTCTTCGTAGACAAAGACATCTATGGGTTGCGGATACGGGTTGGATGGAGAGGGGGAACGATCAAGAGCTAGTTCAAATTCAAAAACAAAACGAAAACAAATGTAGTACAGTGCGTTTCAAAAAAGGGCTGCAAGCGCAGTAGGAGCGGCCCACCGATTTGGCGCTCACTTTCGCTCACTAATAATATTATTGATTTGATGGATCGGATTCGGATAAGTGAAATGATGATAGCAATGGCTGAAACATTTGGCTGAATTAATTTGAAAATTAATACTGCGCCATGGCAGAGCCATTTGATTTGATTTGAAGGAATTGGATTGATTCCATCATCATATCCGATTGCTGCTAAAAAGGTTTAATACCTACTAATAAAACTTTAAATAAATTGCGCAAAATGTCCGGAATTTGGTAGCTGAATATTAATTGGGAATATTCAAAAAGGTGGCGGAAATTTAATTTATTAATTGAAACTCAAGCCTTAAAGTTTTGAAACGCACTGTACAAACCAATGGCCAGTCTGCCTGCCTGGACAGGATTGGCCACCGCATCGGACATCTCGTGTCCTCCGCCTGCGTGCTCAGCTCCGTTCTCCAGGCCTACGGAAACAGGGGGGAATCGAATGGAAATGCGAGTGCTGCCCACTCGGGCACCTGACAGATGTCATCCACATGTACATACATACATACTGTAGTTGCGGGAGTGCTGAAGGGAGGCTGCAACAAAATCTGGTTACCCACACGGTTCCAGTCTGCCAGTCTGCCAGTCTGCCTCCTTGCCGGACTGGACTTGCTCTCGGATGTTCAGATGTGCGGAAGTGCGGAAGTGTGGCAGTTGCCCCTCGGCAACCCCAATGAGAGGACTTTGCTGGCTGTAGCTAGCTGTTCAGCAGGTTGAAACAATTGAATCAGTGGCTGGCTGGCTGGGGGTAAGCATTTGGGTAAGCGGCTTTTAGCCACGGCCAACGCACAGATGGACTCGCATCAGTCTGCGCGCTGGCGGCCATTGGCCATGGCGAGTTCCACTGAACAGGATATTGCATATCCACGAAAGCGAATGGGAAATGTATAATACATTTTGGCAACGTGGCAGCCCGCAGGCGCATCGAAAATAAAACTACAAAAATATCAACGGAATCTCCAGCTGAATTTGAATCGGAGCACACGAGTCGAGGCCGGAGTTGGAGCTGTAGCTGTAGCTGTAGCTGAAGCCGAATGCGGTCTCTCCTTGGGTAAGCATTTAATATTGATTTAGTTTTTATTATTATTACTATTTTTTTTTGTTTTTTTTTTTGTTTTTTGTTTTGTATTAATTTTGGCCACCCACAACCCAACATGGCCCAGAAGCAACAGAAAACCAAAATAAATAGGCAGAATGGAACGACACGAAAAAATCAATCACAAACATATAACATTCAATGCCGAATATCGGGCCGAATACCAGGTAAGCATACGAGTACACAATATATACAATATCTATATATTTATATATTCGAGTTCGAGTTAAAGTTGGCGGCAGTCATCGATCGCATTTACGAGGTGATTGTGCCACCAGCGACCATCTCCCGCTGCATCTCTCGTTCTTGGATGGCACATGAGTGAGGGGGTCGATTGAGGTGAGTACGAACGGGGTTTTCCAACAGTGCAAATAAGTGCTGCAAGCGTAGCCAGTCCAAATCGCCGCTGTCTCTTCATATCTCCCTGTCCTGGTCCCTTGTCTCTGTTCCTTGTCCCTTGTCCCTGTTCCTTGTCCCTGACCCTTGCCTTGTCCCTGTTCCTTGTCCCTGGCCATAATCTACCATCAGTCCACTTAATTCCAAGTCTTTTAATACAAACACCCCACCAGCTGGGCTAGGCGAACGTCCCACCAATTGCTGTTGCTTAGTTCTTCTATATATGAAGGCTCCACTGTGCCCGTCCTGGCCTCACCTTATCCCTTGCCACTTTTACATAACAATGTGCATTAATTATGCATGATTCGACACGACATGACCCTCCTCCTGCTGCACTTGATTTGATTTAATCAGAGCGAATTCAATTTTCAAAAGTTAATTTTACAAATTTAATTAAACCAAATTTAAATGCATTATTTATTGCCCATGCCCACACTAGACTGGCCTATGAGTTGAATGGAATTATAAGTGTTAGTTCAGTGAGTGTCCGGATGATATTTAGGGAGCGCTCCCAATGGCTGTCTCTATCTAAATTAAATCAAAGCCACCTCCCCGCCCCAAGGTTCGTATCGTAGTCTGTTCCCGTTGGCTGTCGCTACACCTGCCTGTCCCACGTTGCGCCCCCCCGTGCTGGACCCGTGCTGGACCCGTGCTGGACCCGTGGTTACCCGCAGCGCCCGCGAATCACTTACCAATGAAGCAACGCACATCGTAGCTGGTGCCGATTGGAGCCCCATAATAGCGCTTGGCCGGAACCAACTGAACGCTCGGTGGCGAGTGAGCGTTAAGCACTAAAGTGAAGGCGTGGGCGCCAGCTCCTAGACGCTTCATAAGGGCCTCCTGGGGATAGAAAGATGCATAAAGTTAAGAGGGCGACATTCAGTAATATTATGGAGCACTTGATTTAGCATCTTGATTGGTCTCCAATGGTGCATGGTGCAACCCGATACGCAAGTCAGCGAAGATACACATCTTGTACATACATATATGTACATATATATACAAGTAATATATGTACATATGTGTGTACCCGAGTACTTGTATGGAGAGCTGTGTGCAGGAGGCGGCTGTGCTTGAGACAGATATAGATATTCGTTTATTTCTCATTTTAATTATGCATTTTGCAATTATAATTCATGTAATGCAACGTCCTGTGATCACAAGGCAACAAATAAAAACACAATAATTAAAATCAAAATTCTAATTCTAACGAAAAACCGAAAAATGATAGCCTTGTCGGCTCTGTCGGGTCTGTCTTGTTGTGCGTCTTTTGTGCCTGTGTCTATGTCTGTGACTGTAACTCTGACTCTGTCTGTATCTGTATCCGTGTCTCTGGCTTTGTCCAAGTCTTTGTTTGTTTTTTTTGCTGCATTATTTCTTGAGCCCAGCATTCGAGCAGCATTCCATTTGCATTTGATTATATTTTATTTCAAACAGAAATTTGTTTTCCGAAACTTTTCTTATGGGAATCTGAATCGGAATCGATTGCACAGCCCAATGTACCATTCCAGTGTACATCTGTATATTCACTCAGCTATGTACATATGTATAGCCAGGACTAATCGCTGGCGCGTGTACGTGTAATTCAGGTTGCTCAAGGCAACGCGTCAGAGGCAACCACAAGGCTGCCACAGAGCCACAGAGCCAGCCACAAAGACGTTTAAAGTCGGATTGGCGCTGCCTGCTCGCAGACTCGCATTATTTGCGGCAAAAGTTTTTCCAAGGCAGAAGCTGGAAATCAAATCGAGTTCATGAACTATCAAACTTGGATAGCCTCGCTGGCACAGCCCTCCAGTCCTCGAGCTCAGATCCGCTCTTACACCTTTCGCTGCTCATCCTTGGGATTGCTTTCATTGACCGCCTGCTTGGGTCAGTTGGTTTCCGGGGCAACATGCCCCACTGCCATCAAATTATAATCTATCATTTGGGAATATCTTCTTCTTTTTTTTTCGTTGTATTTTTTTGCTGGCGCTCCACTCAATCTATCAATGCTCGGACACGGACACGGCCCACGGCCCACGGCCCAGGGCCCAGGGCTGACTGATCCCTCAACAAGTTTAGCTGCTCCCTGTCATCATTTCTGTTTGCTGAGGCCTATTTATGGATGGACCTTCCTTCCCGTCGTTACGTTATTAAAATCAAATTTATTTAATTATGCGTGTGCTTGTATGTGTAGCTGTGTAGCTGTGTATCTGTGCCAGTAGCCAGTCTCCAGTCTAGAGTCCCGGACCCTAAATGGATAGAACACCCACCCACCCAACCACCCACCCCCCAGGAGGGTGGAGCGGAGCAGAGTCCATTTGGCTAACCGAATCGGTGCGGCTTGTGGGGGGTGGGGTGGGGCTGCCTGTTCTGCCTGTCCAGAAATGTGAATGTCAAAATTAATAAAAAACAAACCAAAAAAAAAAGAAATCGAAAGCTGAATTTGAATTTGAAAGTTTTTCTGTTGCTCCCCTTGGAGTGGAGTGGAGTGGAGTGGAGGGAGTCCGAAAACAATGTTAAAAGAATCCGCAGCTAGGCAAGCGCAAACATTTGTTTGGCTTTTAGTTAAATCGAATTGATTTTCAATTGGTTTAAGTGCATCCGAACGGAGCATGAACACGCGCACCTAGTCCAGGGCGATGCACCATTCCGGGCACCTTACCTGACAGCTGCGAGATGGTCATAAAAGTGAGCCCAACAGGCGAGTGTGCCAGGCACACCATACGAGAGTGTGTTTCGTCAGCAGCCAGAGAAGTTGGCATAGCAGTGAAGTGGAGGGGAAAATGGCAAGTGGAAGGCCTTTCCCTTGAACTAGTTTGCAGTGGAAAAGATCTCCCCGGACGGGAGTGCTTAGCATTCCTTCAATTCCAGGCAGCAAGGCCAGAAGCAGCATGTTGCAGCTTTCTTGTCAGCAAAGACTCGAACTGGTTTGACGGAAATGCTGGCACTGGCGCTGGCACTGGCACTGGCACTGGCACCATTAAGCAGGCAGCCTCAAACTGAAGACATTCAGCTCTGTTCTGTTCCGTTCTGTTCTGTTCCGTTCTGTAATGTACTGCCCTTGGCCTTGCACTGCGCTTGGCACAATTAAGCCGGCAAGTAAGAGCCTTTTGCTCGCTGGCAGAGCCTCTGTGGAGGGGTCGAGCGAATGCCAAGGTGCTGCTTGGCCCAGTGATGGCGTTGCAAAGCTTTGAAAATTGTCCAATTATTTATGGGCTTGTGCAGTGAGGCTCCAGTCTGCTTGGAGTGGATTGATGGAGGGCGGTCGCACAGAGTGGCAGCGTGGCAGAGTGGCGAGTAGTGGGGCTCGTGGCAGACCCTGGGGCAGCTTGCCTCCTCCATCCTCCATCCAATCCAGCATTCCCGTCATCAATTTTGCATCCCGCTGCCAATATTGGCGGGCAAAAACCCTTCCCGTTAATCTGCCGCACTGCACTCTACAGCTGGCCAAGGACTTGTAATGGCTTTTGCTTTAGCTTTTGCGCTTGTCGTTTTTTTTTTTTTGTCGTCGCCAGATGCCGGCTGGCCAGGAGGAGAGTGCACCGGGCAGTAGCTGTGGCTAGAGGAGGAGGCGGTATGGGCAGATAGATGCATTGTTTCAATTACGATGATTACCTGCAAGGGGCTAAGCGATTCCGGGGCTGGCTCCTGGAGGCGTGGCCAGATCTGATGCAGCGACATGATGGCCTCGTTGCAGAAACGCAGGCCCATAACCTCCTCATCCTCGCGGCCATAGCTGCAGGAACCACGAAGTTAGAAGGACACTCAGTCGGACCCATGGCAAGCAGCAGCAACAACAGCAACAGCAGCAACAGCAACAGGAACAGCAGCAGCAATAGCAACAGGAACAGCGAAGAAATTACTATCCCAGACTATGACAGACAGGGACAGGGACAGGCACGGGGACAGGCACGGGGACAGTAGTCAGTGGTGGTCAAAAGTCAGCTCAGCAGTCCGGCAGACCGGCTGTCCGGCAATCCTGCAGTCAGCTATCCCGACTGTCTCTGTCTGCTGTCTGTCTCATGGGCGCAGAGCGAGTGCAAATACAAATTCAATTAATTAATTTTGATCGCGCCGTTACTCTTACTATAATCGAAGCATAGTTGCTGCTGCTGTTGCTGCTGCTGCTGTTTGCTGCTGTTTGCTGCGGCTTTTTTGATTGTATGTAAGACCGGTGCCAGGGCCCATGGCCTTAGCCTTACCGAAAGGTCAGCGTTAGCTGGGCATACACACGATATCCCTGGATGGCCTTTGGGTCCACGAAGAGAATGCCACGCAGCACCGCCGCCTTGTCCCCGGTGAGCGTCATCTCGCGCGTCGGCAAATACAACGTAAGCACGCAGTTCGGCGATGTCTTCTTGTAGACGCGCTGCGTTCCAAGCTCGTCCCTGGCGGCCGACCTGTGCGGAATGTCAAAAAGAAACACACACAAGATACACATTAGCGGGGTGTAGCGAACTGCAAGCGATATCTAATCTTCCCACTCTCCCTTAGATTATGTTTCAGCCTAAAGTGCGTTGTTCTGCCCTGACTAGGGGACACGCACCGCGATGACATATCAATATTGATATGGATCAGTTATTATGCTAAACGGCGCATTTTGCCTAATGATTTGCGGTGTGCAGGGCCCCCTCATCAACTATTGATATATGCAATTAAAAGTCAGCGACAATCGCAGGTGGTCAGGCGGTGCCAGCCTGCAGTTGGGACACATGTCCAGCACGAAATTCTCTCATGCCTCGACATGACTCTGTAGAATTCAGCAAGGACCCACAGCAAAAATTAAAATGCAGTCAATTTGTCAAATAATGGCCGTCTCCAATGGAGGGAGGGGCAGCGGAGGATGGGGCATCCCATTCAGTGCGATGCGATTGGAATCGGTGTGGCATGGCATTGTTCGGTTTTGCATACATGTCCGCACCACTCATTCATTGATTTCCGTCAGGGACAGGCAGACAGGGACAGACAGACAGGCTGGCAGACAGACAGACATGGAATTGGAAATTGTAAACAGCCATTGCCGACTTTCGACTGCCTCACTGCCACACACACACACACTCACACAAAAGTTACACAGATAATTGCATGGTGTACTACAGGCGATCGTTTTGAGCGGGTTTCGCTTTGCCAGCCCCATCTGCCGTTGGCACACAGTTTGCTTGGGCAATTAGCAGCAGATGTTGCATAGTCATAGTCAATGCCACAAAACCGGTGGCAGAGCCCGACTCTTGCGTGTGCCTCCTGTCCTTGTTGGCCACTTATGAAGCGGACTTTGCAAATACTCGTAAATGCCAGCCCAAGAAATGTTCAATTAAAATGCCTGCCAAAAGCGACAGTACCTGGGTGGGCTGGGCTGGGGTGGGCTGCAGAAGGGACAGTGGTCTGTGACAAATGCACCAAGAACTGGGCGCTGCCAGTTCCAATTAAGTTCCAGAGCTCTTTGGCCTAATTGTGTTAATTAGTTTCATTTTGATGATTTGCCATCGAAATGGTGTAAATTCAATTTCAGCAAAGTTTCCATGGAAATTTGCCTGCCAAAGGGATGTGCTTTTAGCCTCTCATTACTTAAGAACATTCCGAAGGCGAAATGGGGGGCACTATTAGCAGATACTGCGGTAAGTAGTTCTAATGCTCTAAAGCTTAAAAATTAAATTAATTAAAAATACACAAAAATCGAATTACTCGGTACATTGGGCAAACATGTAAAATGTGTCCAACATATCCAATGAAATGGCTATTAAATGTGAATAAAATACAAAGGAAATGCTTTCAAAATGTTCTCTAAGATGACAAAACTGTGGGAAAGGATTAAGTTCTAGTTGGAAATACAAAACACAACTTACTTTAGCAACTAGTTAGCTAAGCAACTATGTAAAGCTAGCAAGCTGCAGGCCTAAGCAGCTATTGCTCATTACGCACACCTAGTTAGTTCATAGTTCATAGCTAATATACTATAAGCTAGCTTTATATATAAATAAATAAATTACTAAATAAATGCTAGTATCTGTTCGAATTTACTCTATGGCAATGCAATGGTTTTACTTATTTGGGAGTTCCTTTAAAGGTGGTTTGTGCTCTCACATATCCTGCTCGGACTCGTGAATCGTGCAATTGAATTAAATAATTAAGTGAAACTGTGCTACAGGTAATGCAAGACAGGTAATAATTTGATTGAATAAACGATTGATACGCACATACATCTCTAGACAATCATCCCTTAAAACTATTATTATTATTATTATTTGTTATTTATTATTTGCTATTTTCTATGCTTAGCAGTGCTACGTTCTGAGCCTTGAAGGTGTCCTCGTGGTCTCCTTGCTTTAAGTTCATTTCAATAAGGGTCAAAAGCTTGGTCCCCTCCCCCAATATGGCCAGCATAAAAAAAATCTAAAAACAGTGTGAGGAAAAGGGAAAATTGTTTCGCTCAGTGTTGTGCTCCAGATTGTGCTTTTGACAAATCATTCGTGCATGTGTGCTGGCGACACTTGCGTTGAGAAATGATGGTCCATGCATTTAGATCCGGGCAAAACTCCGCACACCGAACAAACCAAACAAACCGAACAGATGCCGCCACACCGCCAAAACCGCCGAATGGTAGATTTATAGAAAAGTTTTGCTTTTGCTTTTGTGGTTGCTGGTTGTGGGGTGGCGTTGGGTGTCCCACCCTTTTGGTCATTTGTTTCGATGTCGCCGCAAAATTGTCAATTGCAAATAATTAATTGGCTGGCAGTCCTTGCCTTTCCTGTCCCTTCTCTTATAACTTTTGCAAGGGATTTTAAATTTATGTGGAACTGGCAGAGGCGATCCCACTGTGGTTGCAATTATATTCCGACTCTGACTCCGACTCTGACGCTGGCATGCAAGTACGAATTTTTGCTTGAAGGGCAAAACTTTTGTTTGTCCAGCGGCCAGAGGCAAGAGGCAAAGACAAAAGGAAAGAGTGCACACAGCTACATGGGACAACTCAAAGGAGCAGCGATCCCCTGGCCCCGGGAATGGGCATAATTAAAATGTAATTTGCGAGCATGGTTTGTTCTGTTAGCTGGTAGCTGGTAGCTGCGTACCTTGGAACTGCAAACTACAAACTGTGAGCTGTGAGCTGTGATCTGTGAGCCGCTGGGAAAGTTTCCGTTTACGGCTTACTCGTGGCTGGAGGCGGACATGCAGCCTCCATCCTTGGGCGCCGGATCATTTTTCCCCTTTTTTAAATAGTCACGCCTCGGCACCCAAATCTAGGATAATATCATCGAAAGAAATAGCGCGCTGGGTGGCCGCAGGTAAAAAAAAAAACTGCAATTTAATTTGCTGCCTCATTACAAGGAGAGAGTCGCTCTTTATGTTTCCCTTTGTGTTTGTTTTAGTTCTCCATTGCGGATTAAGTGCATCCGTACCGATACAAAATTACCCGCACAGTGCGTAAAAGTAAAAGTAAAAAAGTAAAAGTCAGAGCCAGAGTCAGAGCCGGACACAGATCCTGGGAGTGGATGTAGAGGCAAGTTTTAATTACATTGAAATGTTGTTGCTGTGTTCGAAATGCTCCGAACTAAAGTTCGTCAGTTGATGAACGGCTGGTAAGTCCCGAGACTTTGCCGTTTCAAAGCAGCCCACAAATTGCTGCGATGCGGCAGCAGCCTCTGCCACGGATGAATTGGCGTTGTTCTCGCTTCGATGGGTAAATGGCAAACAAGCAACAACAGAAAAGAAAAGAAAATAAAAGAAAGGAAAAGAGAAAGAGAAACTGAGGGACGCCTTGACCGCTGCCTGAGCTTCAGCTTTTATGCAACGTCTTTCAATTACACAAACCAGAAATCATACTTTGAGGCAGGCTTTTGAGAACTACAAATTACTCGCACAAAGGAGCTGTCAACTGCAATTTATTGCAAGCCTTTCCCACTCGTACCACCCCCCTCTACTCGTGCTCGTATTTTTTTGAGCTGATTTAAATGGCAGTTGAATTATCCGCCATTTAGCCGCCGAGGAAAGGGGATCGCAAGTGGCAGGCAGGACAGCCTACAAGTACAATAAAGGAGATGGCAATGGAGTGTGTTATTGTTATTTATTAACCAGAGCTGGAGGCTGTTAGCAGACTTGCTTAGTTACTTGTATGGGGGGAGGAGATGTAAATGCAATAAAATGTCATCAGTGCATCCGGCTGAAGCCTGTGGCCATGCCGCTTGTCAAGGTCGATGCAATCGATTAGCCCCGACAGAAGGCTGAACTGGATTGCTGCAAATGGACAACGTGGAAAACCTTTTAGCCCGTTAGTCACTGTCCACCTGTGGTCGGGCACCGTCGCCTGCTCCTCTGGCCCCTGCCCGCCTGCCTGCCTGCATGATGATGTGATTGTAAGCCAATTAACAGCTCAGGGACTTAACCATAGGTTGTGCATCAAGGATAATGCGGAAATCAATGCAGCATTTGTGATGGGGGTGTGCAAATCCAATGAAAACAATGTCAACAGGAGCCAAGCCAAGGCCATGTCCTGCTGATTCCTGTGTCCTCCAGGTAATTGCCTGCCTGTTGCCAGTTAAATGGGAGGCAAGTGTTGACAGTCATCTGACCGTCATGGCCATGACCCCCCAGTACTTTTCTTCATATTTAATTGCATTGAAGTGGACTGAATGAGTTGGACATGGAGATGGAAATGGAGATGAATGCGACTGAAATTCTCTGGGCTAATTTGATTGATTTGCTTGTCAATCAGCTAGCTGGCCACTCGTGTGCTTTAAATATATATTATTCAGCTGCAATCACCCGGCTACAGCCCCCGTCTAGCCCCTCTATCGCTCCTGTTCCTGTTCCTGCTCCTGCTCCTCTGTCTCAATTAATTAATTTCGGTGGCATTGCTCAGTGATTAATGGGCAACAGCAACCAAATAGCTGCGGCTGAATGCCCCACATGAGTGTCTGTCATATGTGGCTTCACTATGAGCATTTCGATAAGCCACAGGCCTGCCTGTCTGCCCCCCATGCCTCCCGCTCTGCTCTGACAGTCACTCAAAATACAAATTATCGACTGGGCTGCTAGCTGCAGATATCAGATATGTCGGATGCTCGTTAAACTTCTCAAGTAAATCCCACGTACGGGTATTACTGCAATAATGCTCTAAGGTTCAGTTGCTTTCTGATAATTTAAAGCTGTCCAGTGGGGAATCGGATTAAACACGGATCCAACTTGTCCTGCCACTTAGCAGGCAGGCAGGCTGACAAGCTGACTTGTAGGATGTATTACTCCGAGAGTCAGTCCAATTCCAGCTGCCTGCCAGTTCGTACGTCCGTGGAATGCACTGCCACATGCAACGTGAAGCCTGAACTTTTCAACGCAAGCCTCGAGCCCCCCACGCAGAGTGCAGTGACAGGAGCCAAAGCGAATACAAATTCCAAATTCAAGAAAATAG